GCCTCAAGGGGCCAGTTCTGTTCCATTTACCACACATTTTCTCTGTCAGATTATGAATCACAGACACAGCTGAACACCCCAACCACGACAGTGTCCTTCTACAGTTTCACAGCTGTAACTATTTAATCAGCCATAACGCACAGAAAGGGTGACTTACTTCCTCATCTTTTTTTTTAATTTCTGCTTGAACTTCCTCCAGTTCTTCCTGACCCTCATCTGGACTCATTTTCAAGCCCTCCCGAAGCATTCGGATGCCAAAAATTGCAAACAGTGCCGTTGACACATAGTATGTGTACACACGAGGGATAACTGTAGTGGCATAGCCAAACAAAACTGAAAAGAAAATAAATGCATAATTTAAAAAAATAAGGCAGCTTTGTTTGTCATAAGCGTAAAACTGTCTCTAAGCAGAGCTTAGGGGGCAAAACCCCCAGGAATTTCCAGGCACAACTTGTATAAAACAAGGACAGTGGAAAGAACAGAAAAAGGGGGGTGGGTCTGGGAAGGCTCCTTTCTGAAAAGGAAGAAATAGTTGTGAACCTCTGAACTGAGGGATAAAGCAGAAAAGAAAGCTTTTAGGAAAAAGCATCATGAAAGATTTGAAGAAAGACTAGGTACAGAAAATGGGAGAGCCATAATGGGCATGAGAAAAGAGATTGCAAGACATACAGAAAGGCACATCACCATTCTGGTACTAAATAACATTAAATGAAGCAAGCAGTGCAGAAGTGAAAGCAGCGTCAAAGACTGTTATACTGTGAGTAACAGAGTACTACTTCTATTAAGTAACAGAAGAAACTCATACAATGCTATCATTGCACACAGTGCAAAAGGAAACTGCTAAGACTGCAACAATAATTGCAGCAATATATATAGCAATAGCTACACATTACAAACCATTCATAGAAACACTCGCCGAGACACCTAAAGCCAGTTAATCGGCTGTCTCAAATGTACACAAACCAATGAACATTATTTAAATTATTTCTGAAATGGGCACGGTTAGAAATGAGCACACATGCAACAAAATTTATGCCGCATCTGATATACCTGAAGGCTGCTCCATTTTACAATCACAGCTATGTAAGCACCCACAGCTACAGGTTCCTCAAGTGCCACCTGACACTTCACTTCCCCCCCAGCTTTTGGCTCTGTCAGTACCACTCATCTCAAAGGATCACAGCAGAACATCATCTTCCACTTATGCAGCTACCAGCACAAACCCAAACAGCTACACATACAAGGATACAAATCAGACAAGGGAAATTTGTCATATTAAGAATCTTTCGCCTTAGGAGGAAAGAGAGAAGTCGCTCCCACATTCCCTTTAGGCATGCTAATTTAACAGGAGCTAAAAATAAAAAGGAAACTAGTGGCCCAAAAATCAAAGGAAGTGCTTAGGCCCTCAATTCCACTCCTCTTCCTTAAACTCATATTGAAGTCTAGGTAGCACAAACACCTCCTTATAGGTAAGGTGTAAATATTCAATCTGAGCCATGGTCCTGAGGAAAACCTTCTTACTCCCCTCAAAACAGAAAACAGCATATACCTACTACCTTCATTTTAATTTCAATTAAGATTTATTAATAAATATGTAAACACTATATTTTAAGAGGTGAAACAAAGACAAGAGTGCTAACCTGATAAACATGTCATGAGTCCCAAGGCAAGCATAGCACCAGCCAATACAGTCAAACGGTTGTACCGCATTGCCATGATGGCTGCAATGAAGAAGGTCTTATCCCCCAGTTCTGATACGATGATGACAGATATAGCAGCCACAAATGCATGAATAAAGCCCAAATTAGTCTTGTCAGCTGACTCATCACTGACAATGTGGACCGGAGCAACTGGCGAGGACCCCTTCTGTAAAAGAGGGGAAAAAAAAACAACAAACCCATTAGTTAACTAGGCATGAAAAGCTAGTTGGCAGAAGTACCGAGCCTTGTATTTCTCCTGTCATATCATACCACGTAGTGTGACATTTTAAGTCTACACCTCTCATACAGCACTAATGATCATTAACCAGTTACTGGTTAATAAACACTCTAGGCTGACACCTACATCAAATTGCTAGTTAGGCACCTAGCAAGATCAGATTTTGTATTGATTATCAAAGCAGTACTTCACCATGCAGACTATTACCAGAACATGAGAGCCACTACTACAACAAAACACGAGAAAAGCTGCTTTAGCCCAACTCTAATATTGCTGTCTTTACAATCCCTGGCTATTTACTTTATGACCCTGACCAAACAAGCAATTTTCTGACATAAATATTAAGAACTAGATTCTCCAAACTAAAATTGGGTGACTAGGATACCTTAGGAGAAATACAAAGTCCTTTCAAAAATTGTCAGAATCACTTTCTTTCCTTGCAGAATCTTTGCATCTCAGCTTCATTAAAATTTTGCACACGTTTACATCAGGTTTTTTTTATGTGCTCTATATTTGTTGGAAACTAGCTTTAAGACTTTCTGGCAGTCAAACCGGACCAGCACACTCCAGATCTCACTTTAGTCATCACAGTGCTTACTTTTACAGAGATTAAGATACATACAGTCAAAAACAAGGCGCAAACCAGGGAAGTCAGTGTTTACATGCTTGACCAGCGATGGCTGAGAAAGCTTGCTTCAGCACATCTAGCAGCAGAGACAGATTGCAACGTGCTTTGACACGGTGATTTCCCAGTATTCCACTTTTAAGAGTGTTGTAAGCTTTTGGATTTGTTATTTAAAAGTTCCCACGCTCTAAATAATTCACAGTGACTTCCCAAGGCTTCTTCACCTTTAGCAGCACTGTAAGTTTTTAGTTTTGATATTTAAAACTTGGCATGCGCTACCTGCTGCATCAAGCCATACGTTAATATTTTTTTCATCCCTCTGTGTGCTCACCCAGCACTAGAATCCCCTAACCAAGAACACCATTCAAAAAGTTTTACTGCAAATAAATTAATCTTAAATGCTGGGGGAAAACTGGCAGGTTTCGAGTCACAACAAAGCCTGCTTTCATCTGCTTCTCTGAGGAAGAGCTGGAGAGGGTGGTTGGTCCCCTCAGCGTTCAAGCAAGCACAAAAGTACGTATCTGGCGAAAAAGAGCATGAGCCCATTTTAGACGTCGGACCTTAATTCTTCTCTTTCAGCAGTTACTTTACCAAAAGAGGAGAAATTA